ATGGTTTATTTTCTCTTGCGCCTTTCTTGTTATTGTTCCTTCTTAGGGTCCTTTAGACCCTTTGGAGATATTTTACTTTAGCGTTGTTGTTGTTGTAAAGATAAGTTTTGTTGTAAAGATAGGTTTTTTGTAAAATAAGTTTTCTGTAGATTCTGATGACGTCAAGTTATAACTTGACAGAAACTAGTCAACAAATAAAATTCTACAAAAACACAAAAAACTTTTTTTATTTTTATTTTAATCTCGAGAGGAGTGAACTCATTATAGAGAGAGAGGTTATATCTGAATAAGAATAACCAACTACTCATAATTCTAATAAAGTTAGTCAGTTTAAATGCAGTACGATCAGAAAAAGACATCGGAACTTCAACAAAATTTGCTTTTTTTTCTTATCTCATGATCTTAAATTTTGACCATAAGAAGAAGCTATGCTCAAGTCATTAATCTAAAAATTTTTCTACCGAAGCAAACAAGTTTTGAATGAAAAATGAGGATTGATTATATTCAAATTATTTCACTGTGAAATGCGATGCAGTTTGAATTGATGAACAACTGTGCTCTCATCATTGCAAACAGAAGAAATGATTCGTTGACCTGCGACTTGGAGTCGTTTGGCTCTTGAATGATTTGATCGAATATAGAATTGATCGCTGTCACTAATACGTTCGAATGTGAAAGTAGAACATGAGCAAGAAGATAAAGGCCGACGTGTGGAAAGTAATGACGAGCATAGCCAATACTCTTCCTCAAAGTGCGATATTAACACTGTGAGAAGATGATTACTTGAATTGTTGCGCAATTCGTACTCACGACCATGCCAGTTGATATTGATTTGTTTGATCGAGAATATTCTTTCATGATGTAAACTTTTTGCACTTGTACACAAATCGTCATTTCCATCTGTAAACCACTCACCATTTGACATACATTCGATCATATAGAGTCCATCGGTGAGATGGCAACTATTAGCAAATTGTTTCAATAGAATGATATCATCGGTGGATGACAGGTGCAAAGTGAGAGCAAGATTAAGATCAATTGTTCGTGGTTCTTCATCCATGCTTTCGAGAAGTCGAGTACTGATTTCATCACTAACAATAATGTTGTCACAAACTAAGAGAAGTGATGCAAGTCGACGATGAATGAGACAACTTGCGTATTGACGAATGTCATCCATCGGACAACAATGAACGACAAGTGTCTGCAAATTAGGACAGAATTTTTCCACTTGTCTTATATACTTCGAGAGTGGATGAGGATACCCAATTGATAAATAATGAAGATTGGTTCCAATCGACTGTAAAACAGTCGATAAACAATATTCAAATATTGTTCCATTATGTATGTTAGACAAATCAAATGATTTGCCAATAAAATACTGAACAGCCGAAGTGAAACGATAGTTGAGTCCCAAAAATGAATAGGCAATGTGCTCTTTTTGCAAATACTTGAATATAAGACAGATGAGTTCAGATGGTAAATCATTTAGAGATGAGATTAACATTGTTGATCGATGTTATGCCGCATGAATCACTGCGCTGATACGAGTGTGAATAACCATACGCTTCAGATGCAACGTTTACTTACAATATAACGAGAGAGAGAGAGAGAAAATAGATGAAAAGAAAAACGAGAAAGGCAAATGCAGCTGACGAGGGAACAACACCAGCTACCTCCTGGCTTTTCTAATGAAAACTATATACTTATATATGATTAACGGTGCTGATTCCGAATATGACCATGGAGGCGACAGTTACACCTTCGGAGACACGGTGTTCCAAAAAATGTTTTTCTATGGCGAAAATCCTTTTTTTTAAATAAAAAAAAAGATTTTTGATCTATCCAGATTGTAGAGCATATCGAGTTGTCTATAAAACATTCGTTTTTTCGTCATAAACCGATTGTAGAGAATGATACACTAATATGCATATTTTTATGATAAGTACAGTTCCTTGCATTGGTTGCACTTGCATACTCATTTCAGAGCTTTGTGCTTAGAAGCTCCTAACAACTATATAACGTTCCGTAATCGGCTTATAACAAAAAAAGTATTTTATAGACAACTCGAGATGCTCTACAATCTGAATAGATTAAAAATCTGTTTCAGTAAACGAAGATTTTCGCCACAGAAAAGCGTTTTTTTTTCTGGAAAATCGTGTCTCCGAAGGCTTAACTGCTGCCTCCATGATCATATTCTGAATCAGCATCATCCATAGTTTATAATCATACGGTCTTCATTAAAAAAGCGAGAGAACAGTTGATGATGTACCCTCGTGAGAAGTAGGAATGGCACTTTCACTGACGAGATATTGAAATGTCGACAGTCAATGTGTCGACAAAAAATGTCGACAAGAAAAATGGCGACACGGAAAATGGCGACATGAAAAAATGTCAAAAACCCAAAAATAGTGGAGATCTTCGACATATTATGTGTTCTGCGTTTATCATTCTTCCATGTTTTCTCGAAGAAGACCTGCGTCATGCAGAACACCCTGAATGAACTAAGCACGCGCTACGACAGTGATACAATCGATCTTAGTGTCAACCATCATGAGCTGTCATTGCTCATTTGGCAAAGTCGAAGTAGATGAAACGAAATGTGTCTATGGATATGTAATAGGACCATCTAATTTCTTGTCTATAATACATTTGCTAATTATCGAATATAAATAGTCACAAACCAGTTTCTAGACACCTAGTAACATAACTATTGGTAACAGTAACTGAACATGTCTACAAGAAACAAGACTGACTCTTACTTTCTATTGTAAATGATAATTTTTTCCTTATCAGCTACCCATTAACGTAACAGTAACGTCTCTCACGTGCTGTTAAACCAATGATTGCTATCGTTCTATCTCGTTGCCTAAAACATGTCAGAAATTGACAATTTCAATATAGATACAATTTTCATACAGGCTATAATTCAAGCGAAAAAGTGGATCCTATATCCTAGGTTCCATTTTTCTCTCTTGGATCCCATGAAAGACACCAAATGCGGTAATATTCGAGACGTTTCTCAACTTACTTTATGATCAAGTTTCCAGATGAGCAAAAGACAAGCAAAAAGACTAGTATATTTTCTAGGCATGACGGCACGTCTTGTCCCGCCTTTTTCTCAAAAGATCCTAGTACATGACTAGTCCGAAATGGGATATAGTCGTTGGTTCTCGTTCTGACTGCGTAACGGACAGATATGGATTTTTCTGTCATGTCTACTCTTTTTCACAAGAACGACCCACTCAAAGCTACTTGTGATAAGGAGTTCCCAGGTAAATGAATACGACACCGGAACTTATCGAATCTTGCCGGATCCGACCAGCCAATGAAAGTCGATGGGATTTCGGGAAACGAATCCACTAACGGATCCGACGGATGAAACCTATTTAATTAATTTAGTACTAATTACTAACCGGTGACAACAGTATAGAGCAGTCAAAGCGGGGCGTTGGATTTCGTCGAATTTCTACAATAGGATCCCATTGGATTCCAATACTAGGGATCCGAATGTCAATTCGTTTCCCGGATTCCGATAGGATTTCGGCGGTTCTACGGACATTCATATAAAATTCTATTGGATTCCAATACTAGGGATCCGAATGTCAATTCGTTTCCCGGATTCCGATAGGATTTCGGCGGTTTTACGGACATTCATATAAAATTCTATTGGATTCCTGTCGGATCCGAGTCGATCCTATTGTCGGATTGAACCTCCTGGGTTGGTGAAGCGCTGACTAATGTCCACCCCAGAATAAAAGAGGGGTGGGTGTAAGCGAAATAACTCGATAACGGCAACAGCTAGTGACCTGCGGTTTTCACCAATTGAAAGAGAAGAAGTCGGCATATCTTTTTCTCCGATAATGTATAAGACGAAACCCTTTTAAAACTAATCATCTTCGAAAAACATGCAAAAGAATGCATGAAAATGACCTGCCACTTACATGAAATTTTGATTTTGACCTTTGATTTAGATAGAAGGACTTAGATCTATAGTTCAAGATACAATGCGCTTTCTTACTCTTCATTACATTTTCATCGAGATGTCAAGCAATTATGATAAAAAGTGCGAAAACTCAGTAAAAAATCAGTAAAATTCCCTATTATTTTGTGAAACAAGATCTGAAAGGAGTATAGAAGTATATAGGGTAGAAATTTGAACGCAGCGGACAGCCGCCCCC